AAAGCGACTTTCAGATAATTGATTGATGGATTTTTTATGCATGGTACAGCTGTGAAAGGTCTGATTAGATAAGCCCTTGAAGAAGAAAGTTTTGAAAATTAAAGTGTATTTCTAAAAATCGATAGTGAATATGAATAATTAAAAAATATCTAGTCGATATTTTATTCATAATTTTTTATTAGATATTTTTATATCGAGCAGCAAAAAATATTGAATATTTGATATTATTGAATAACAACAAATATCTCTAAAACAAGGATTATAATCTGGATTTCCCTACTTCTCGCAGGGTTCGTAATTTCGGCCATTTGCGAACTTGAAAGAAATGCCATTCAGCTGGCTCTAGGCAGCTTCTATCCTACGCTTCTTCTCAGCGGTACGTATGGCATTACAAAGCTTGTGGAAGTGATAGACATAGTATTTTTTAAATTCGTGTTTTTATTTGTAATATTATAGTGTATCTAAAAATTACGTTTATATAAAATTTGTACGAGAATTGGAATGTTGCTCTTATCGATCAGATTGAATTGCAGATAATACTCTTGATATCATATTACTCTAAAATAAATATGATAATCATTTTGTCTTCGATAAATTGAATTTATCGCTCTTATAGTAAGCAGTTGTTTTGATCTAAATGTCACGTGTTGAAATCTTTACTGTATCTACCAGAAGTGAAAGTCGGCCAATATCCACGCGCGCCGTGCTCTAATCAAATTGCTACACGAACTGTTTGCTAAATCTGCACTCTCTGATTCGCTCTGTCTGAATAAGTGTAAATTTAATATTTAATATTTAAAAAAATTTATAGAAGACTTGAGAAAATTAGAAAAAATTAAAATTGATAATTTGCTGCTGAAAGCAGACATGTGAAAGTTAAATCAAATTGAGAATAAATGAACATAAAATAAAGAAAAGAACATATATTAGTCGATTATTCGGCGAACTTTATTTTAAAGTTTACTTGATTTTTCCGATATTTGCAGGTGTAATATGGCCAGTGGAAGGCATGCCGACGATTCTTCGGTACATCTCGCAAGGTCTACCACTGACGATGGCGACGACCGCCTTGCGTTCTATGCTGACCCGCGGCTGGAGTATCACAGAGCCGAATGTCTACAACGGCTACATATCCACCATCATCTGGATCGTCGTGTTCCTCACGATAAGCTTACTGGTGCTGAAATTTAAGCGCGGATAAAAGCTGCTCACATAATTTTCGCTCTCATGTTTAGACTGTATTCGGTGTATAGTGATTTGCGAACATTTCGTAACGGATAGACAATCAGGAAGCAAGTGTTCCCCGAAGAGGAACGAATCAGTCGGAAATTGGTGTTCGAACGTGCGTTCGACAGATGTGACATCGCAACTCGGGACTCGCGTTTCCATCCGGAAGCGAAGCGATCCTTCGAAGATGATCTACTTCGTTCATCCGTTTTATAACTGTATTATAACTGGAGTTAAAATTAATGGAGCGTTAGTTAGGAACCGTACAGAATTAGCGGAGACTGTAGACGCAATTGAATGTTGATAGCCGAAAATGATATTTGGAGAACTGTTTGGACCTTGTCGTTCATGAAAGTTCCACGATTCAAGAAAGGTCCTTCCTTCTAGAAACATAATATTCGATAAAGATATTTTCTACCCAAAAAAAATTTACATTCAACTGCCATCGTTTAATTGATGTCCGGCTGCATTTCTGGAGTTTTCGAAATGAAGAACAGAAGATACATTAGTCGGTAAATCGACTTTAATTCCAAATGTAACGCCGATACGATCTCGCAGCATTCTCCGCCGTGAATGGACCTCCAATACATGTGATGCTCCTATGTGCGCTGAATGTGTTTTCAAAGCTCATGAATCGCGCGTACATGTGCGTGTGTGTATTATTATATGTTATACGTATGTGTACGTGTGTGTGTGTGTGTGTGTGTTTATATGCATAATTATAGGAACTTTCAAATAAATGTACAATATATAAATGTACGATAAATGTATACATTTGTACGTACGATGATGATAAGCGTGAGACTGCCGCGTTTACTTCATGCGTCTGTTTGTAGGGATTATATTTGTATTTGGCGTCTGTAAAAATTAATGCGGATGCCCGAGAATATCGCCAGAGTTCTCCTTGAATCGATCTCTTGAGAATCACGATCGAGGGAAATAGAATCGACGTTTTCCATTTACATGACTATTGGTCGACACAAATGTCGTTCTATCTTTGTTACTCTCTCTCTCTCTGAAGTTAAGAAAGATAGAATAAAGTTTGTATCGACTTGTGTCACTGAATGGAAAACACTCTATGTCGACCCAAGTTAGCTTCAAAAAGAAACACGATAGTGTCACTGCACTTGTTTCAGCGCCGAAACACTATCGTGTTCTCTGATAAGAAAAAGCGTTTATCATATATAAAGATTGTACTATTGTAGACAATAATGTTTCGAATGATTTAATAACATTAATTTATGTTTGCAGTATAATTTAACATAAACATTTATAAAGATAAGTTGATTTTATTATTTTTATGTAAAAGCTGGAATATTTTACACAATTATGCAGTAAAAAAGAGAATAAATAACAGAAAACAAAAAATAAAAAACAGAGAATAAAGTGTTTTGATATGTGACGCCCGGAACAAATAAATTTGGGTCTTATTTGTACTTAAATCTTTTTTTCACAAAGAATCGTTTAAGTAATTTGGCAAAGAGGTCAAAAATAGGAAAAGTAAAAATGCGTTTGATAGCACTGTGTTTTACGTAAAGAATATTAAGAACAGTATTCTATTCCCCCTGGTCGCGCCTATTCACGTTCGGAATAGCACAAATAGAATTTACGCGTTTGCAATTAAAAATTAAATCTGTCACGTGTATTGTGGACAATGAGTGATGTTACCATCGCTGGACCACACGTAATCCTCATTAGCGATCGTAACGAGATGTCTGGGTGTGACATCTTTACGAAGCTATTTATTGGAGATCTGGTGAAGGGGTCCTGATAAATATCATCCCTTGGGTTAAAATGGGATGTAGTTAATAAGTTTAAGTAAGTTAATAGGTAAGAGTTAATTATATATATATACTCGTAGCGCGATTCTATACTTGCCCATGACTTTAAGTACATGCATACGTATTTTATTTAACTCACAATGCAATTGAAAGCAGATTAAACAATCGGAAACAAAAAGCGACAGTTCCGTCATTCAAAAAACTTATAATTATAGACTTTATTTTATTATATATATACAATATTACATATATAATGAAATATATATATAATATATATAATTAAAGATATATATTACATATATATTTTACATGCGTTTTTATATATTCTTATTTGTTACAAATTATTTATTATAAATCATGTATGTATACGACGATTTGTAACAAGTAAAAATATATTACATCATATTGAAAATTTTTATTATTAATTCATAATGACCTAATATCAGCTCATAAACTACAATAATATTTATGTAACAAAAGTTATTTGCCATATATGGCAGTTATTCAGTGGTGTATATGATAGATGAAAATTGTAAATGATGTAATCACTCCAAGAAAAAAATCAATGCGATTTTACATACATGTATGCTGCAACGTATAAAGAATTCTTGACGATAATATTGATTTTTTTATATATAAATAAATTATATATTAATTGTATATTATTGTGATGATACGTAAAATGCAATTCTTATCCGCGGATCATTGTTGTCAAAGAAAAACTATATGCTATTGGACATTTATCATTAGTAAAGAAATAAAATTTAACAAAAATGTACGCAAACAGGAATCTTGACAACATGTATTTGCACAAAAGTGTATTTTATTTTATATAGTATATAGATACATATGTGTGTATATATATATATATATATAAACGAGGCATGAAATTCTTATATATGTACATGTATCTTTTCGTAAAAATGTTATTATTGTGTCGATATATCACAATATGAATTGTTCTTTTTTTTTACCCCTCATCCCATATTATTGCTTTATCTTTATGTAATTTATATGCAGATATTAATTCTGTTGCGATTCATATCAACTCCGAAATTATTATCTTGTTGTTATCATCCATTTTTGCAATATTCAACTTTCCTAATATATAAATATAATTAGTATAAATTTGCGCGTTGATTTAAGTAAATTATACAAATCAGCGAACAAAGTAGTACAATATTAAATATCCAAACATTTACTAAAAACATATTTTTGTCGTTTCTCTCTCTCTCTCTCTAAACTGAATAACACATGCAGAAATATACCATATATGTATAATGGAAAACATAAAATGGATTAAATTTTAAATTCAAGATAAATAGAGTGAATTCTTGACAGAAATTAAAAGTTACTTTGCTAAAAATAAGTAGTTTATTGATTTTATATTATTATTATTATTATTATATTATTGTTTATATTACGTCACCTGAAAGAAAGACATTGTTTCATACTAATACTTCCATGTACTAATTACTGCAAAGAGTCTCTAAGGTCTAAAAATAAAAGCAATAATTTATTCTGCTATAATACCTTTTCATTTTTTAAGTAATACAATACGGAAGAAGATCATAATCCAGTATTCACAATTGGTTCTTATGATTCAAGACTGTCTTAAGTATAGACTTAAGCCTTGTAACTGATTATAACAAAGCCCCGTATTTGTATCTTAAAATATTACTTATGAATACTAATTAAGAATTAGATACAAAGTGAACGAGGAGCACGCGCCGACCCTGAGCATCACAAGGATCAGAAAGCTCATTCGTTAATTTCAATCTGCTCTGCTGGAAAACTACTAGTTTTGCAATTTTGCAAAAGAAAGTTGTTTCTTTTAGTATAAAATCACATCTTATATTTCGTAGGCAGGAACATCCTACATAATTTACATTAAATTATTTAAGCATCAAAGATCCAGCTTTGATCGTTATGGCGCTTTAATTCCTATTATCTTTTACAAAAAGAAAAACAGATTAACAATACATTGTGCCATCAATAAAATATGATTTCTCTGTGCAGCAAAAAAGGAAAAAAAAAGATATTTTTGTAAAATTTGCAACAGTGTAAGAGAAACCTATGTTCGATATAATAATAAATACCCAAGGATGTGCTAAGAATATATAGTTTTGTTGCCGGAATTACTGTTTCAGACAGTAACAATGTCCTTTTCATCTTCCATAAGCCAGTCGCTATTTTCCTCTATTAATTTCTTCCAATATTCTGTAAACATAAATTTTTCGTGTTACAAAACTCTGCCCCTCTGTAGTGATGTTATTGATGATTATTCAATAAACATTTAATAATTGTTGTTGAAGAATTGCTTATCTTAATTACAAAAAATTAATTTTTTCTTCGACACACAGTACTTGCTTACAAGAAATTCCGTATCATACATCTATTATAATATAAGCGTGTTTCATTCCGTTTATTTCATAATTACTTGCTAATTCCTGACGTGTACCACCAATGCCTCCATATTCGACAGGTAAAATATTAGCTGGTATATCCTTGAAACAATTATGCATCGCATTTTGTGAGTAGACGTGCAATCTATTCTTCATTTTTTCATTCATAAAAGTTCTAAAAATTTTTAGAACAATATCGACATATTTAGGCGCATTAATCATGTTAATCAATTGTATCCTCATAGGATAGCTACTCTGCCATGTCTGAACCAAATTCTTTATAATTTGGGGTTGCATTTGAAGAACATGTCGCATAGTCGGATTGGCTATATCTATGAACACTGAACAGCCATACACAGATGTTGCGGTATAATTCTTCGTCGCAATTTCCGTCGCCATCACGCCGATCTAAAAAAAAAGGAATAAAGACAATAGGCGAAAATTACAAATACTTCAGAATGTGACAACATATCTATCACAAAACATTCGAGTATTATGCTATTTTAATCTTTACTTTAGCGATATCTGAAATTTTGTGTTTCCTTGGATCATGCCGAGTACCACATACGATGATAACCAATCTTCCATGATTATCCGGCTTCCGCAGAGGCAGAAATACTCTAAACATGAATATAAATATTTCAAATTACTTTGAAAAATCAAAATATTTTTTAAGCTATTTAACAAAATATTCTTCTTAAAATGTAAAAGAAAAGAAATTTATCAAAAATTTACGATATTCACTTTAAAATCAAATTTGGGATAAATTTGAAATCTCTGAGCAGATTAATTATATTTAAGAAACTAAAGATAGAATGCAATATATGTAGTATTAACTATTAATACTAAAATATAATACTTGTACTTGGCAGAAAAAACTAATCACCAATACATTCCGGTAGGACACGCATACATAGATATATTCTTCACAGAACATTTTAAATATACAGAGTCTTAATAAAACATTTTTGAATAAAATCAACAAAAATATTTGTGTTTTAGAGATAAAACAATGTCGTCTCTAGAGAGATAAAAAAAATTAAAAAAACAAAAATTAAAAAACTCATAAAATGTGATTAATGTTATGAAATAATAGTAATTACCCTAAATTAAACAGTTCCTGTAGTTCCGGTCGAAACGGATCTTTATTCATGTACCAATCTGGTAAATAAAATCGTTGTTTATAATAGTTTCGCATCCTGATCTTTGTTTTCTCGAGATTAAATTTGCAGACTCTCAAAAATCGCAGGATAAGGAAATCATCTGTGTACAAATTAAGAATTTCAAATAAGAAGCTACAATTGAAGCACTAAATCTATTATTATAAATACATACATAGAGTAGAGTAACTTTTGGAACAAAATATCTGTTCTATTATCTGTTTAACAAAAAATATTAAAAAAAGATATTTTATTATATCCTAGAAAAAAGTAGAAATTTATTGAAATTAATTTATTCAGCGAATATATGATTTAGAATTTAATTATAAATTATTATAGTAGAGGGCATTTTGAAAATTGTGTTATATGTATTATATAATGTGGAATCGTATTTTATTTTGCTCGAGCAGTTAATACCCAGAGGCGTAACATGTTTCAAATTTTTTTATTAAAATAGCATTCATATATATACAATTAAATTGCTGAATTTTATTTATCTAATAATGAAAGTGTATAAAAGAACAAATTAAAAATTTGAATCTTATTGGTTATAATGACTATATAATAAAACTTTAATGTAATCGACATAAAAAGTTTAAGATCAGTGTTGAATAGAAATTATTGGATGTGTAAAATTTTAATCCCAATCGCGTAAATCCTATTCATAATGTTTAATTAAACTTATTGTTTATAACACTCTGAGATTTTGCAATCTTATCATTTTAGCGTTTTCTTACTTTAATTGATTTTTACAGAATATGTGTAAAGAAAGTAACATTTTACGTAATATGATCATCTATATCTATAAACATTTTAGTTACTAAAATGACAATAAAATACAGAAACTTTTTTTACTTCCTCTATTAAATATAAAGGCAATTAAAAAATGGATTATATCCCTTAATTAATTCAATGAACTAAGTATTAGACGTAACATCGGTCTCGATTGAATGTAATTTTATTATTCCGAATTAATAAATCGTAATTTCAAAAAATCTAGCGATGCTTCAACCATATATTATGATCTGTATCATTTTTACCAATTTTTCTTGCGCGCAAATCGTCGCTCTCCTCGATCCAGCATTTGATTTCCGTGACGATGTTCTCTCTAGTCTCGTCGGTTTCGTTTAAATATACCGCTGCGTATTCTTTATCCTCACTTGTCAGTTCTTGCCTAGCCTGATGCACGACGCTGTCATCACTGTAGTTACTCGCCATCGCGATGATAATGAACGCAAAGCCTCATCCACGAAGGGACTCGTATCTGCTGGTTGTAAAAACTCACCGTGAACGAACAATATTGCAACGCGCAATGTGCGATCTGCAAACAATTTGATGAACAAGTACGTACTCTTTGGAATCTGCTCTTTGGAATAATTTCTCATTAACAACTTCAATAATCAGATATTGCGCCATCTGCAGTACGTAATGATAGATCTGGTTTGATTAACTTAATGAATATTTAATATTCATCAACTCTAATGATTGAACGTGCACTGTCATGTTATGTCCGTAAATAAAAACCGAGAATAAGATAGTATTACGACAAAGGACCATCTGTCTCTGTTTAATCACTCTGCGAGGAAGAGATAACTTGGTGTGTGGGTTGTCTGTCTCTTTTTAACCATTTCGTAATCTGCTGATTCTCAGTATGAATCATAGCAGGCAGTGCACGTTCGAGTATTATTATTAGTCCAGTGGTACTCATTCTCGAAAGGATAAAAAAAAACAATTAATTTTCTTCGCAACCTAATATAAAATTGAAATAAAACGCGACAACTATTTATAGTAATTATTCTAATTATTGTAGCGTTTTAGAATTGTAATTAACTTAGAATGAAACCGTTATGTATTATAAATGTTTAATATTAAAGATTTGCGCTGCTACTGTAGCAATCAATTATTTTCAGTTAACTGAAAATAACTATTACGTAATTATTATCATCCTCTAGAAGATGTATTAAATATTCAATAAAAAAAGATTACAGGCTAAAATTTTTACATCAAGCATCGTATTAAAATTCAGATATATAGTATTGTACAAACAAATATAAATACAAACTTTATATAAAGTTAGTTACATATTATTATTGTTTATACATATATTATATTATATATCTATAATCGTCTTTCGGTTATACATTAAATGCAAAACAGATCGATTAAAATGTATTCGCAGGAATAAATGAATAATGAAAGAAATTAAATAGACATTATGTCCTAAGAATACACAGTAAATTTTAACAAAATTTAAAAATATGATCTACTGACTAAAAGTAGAAGTTTCTTCATTAGAAATTCGATACTGCATTAGTTTTTTACGTTAAGTCACTGATACAAAATTATGATTTTTCTATAAAGAGGAAAAATAATACTTTTTTTTAAACTGACAAAACAAAAAGAGATAACCGATAACAATACATATTCAATTGAATGCTACAACCAAACCTTTTATCGTTCTTAAATCTACCGCCTTAAAATAGTGATTTTATCGTTATTATCATCTGTAAGTAGCCATTCGCGATTTTCCTCGATCAATTTCTTCCAATAATCTGCAAAAGTAAATGTTTGTATTACATATACATTAAATTAAATTATATACATTATATATAAATTATATATTCGCAATTACCAGTTAATTCCTGGATTGTACCATCAGTGCCGCCATATTCGACGGGTAAGATGTTAGCTGGAATATCCTTGAAACAGTTCTGCGATGAGTAGACATTAAATCTACTTTTCAACTTCTGCGTCATGAAAGTTTTGAAAATTCGTGTAACAATATCGAAGATTACCGGGGCATTAAATATGGTCATCGACTGGATCCTCCCTGGATAGCAGTTTTGCATCGCACGGACATAATTCATTATTACATAAGGTCGGAGTTGAGTAATATGACCTAAAGTTATATTAGAGACATCTGAGAATATCATATAGCCATACACAGATCCTACGGGATAATATTTCATCGCTATATCCATCGCCATCCTACTGATCTAAAAAATCGTCCATCGAGAAACAACGAGAATTAAAATATATCTATATAATATTGTTGAAACTATTACATATTGTTTTTATTTTTACCTTGAATATATTTGATATTTTGTGTATTCTTGGATCATGCACTGTGCCGCGCACAATATAAATTATTCTTCCTTGATTGTCTGGTTTCCGTAGGGGTAAAAGCGTGCTAAATGTAAACAAAGAATTTCAAATTTTTTAAAAAATTAAATATACTCGTACATATTTTATTTTTACAATAATGTACATCTTATAAGAGAGTCTTTGGAAGTTCTTAATAAAATATTCTTTCTAAATATACATATATGTGTATTTACATAAATCTGTCTGCAAATATAAGCAATTTTTCGTTAAAAATAAAGTTGCAACTTGTAAAGTATTCTGTATACATATATTATGCAAAACAAGTAAAAGTAAATACATAAAAAATAAAAAATATCTATTACAATCTATCAATTCTCATTGTGATTAAATTGGTAAAACTTTTAACTTAAAACATTTAACACATATAAATTAATTAATTAACATAATTGAATTTAGTCAATAAAGTAAAGAATTGCAATTTCATATTTTTACGAAAGAAATCGATTCTAATTAGAATGCAGGAATTATAAAATTTTGCTGAATTATTCTAAACCATCATATTATATAATTAATATCTAAGATGAGTTGTTTTCTTTTATAATAATAAAATAATAAAAAATAGAATAATTATATTTACATCATATAAGCACGCTTTAATATTAGTCTAGTTTATACACATGAGTGTAAAATAATTCACCATATGATCTTACAAATTTCAGCACTCCAATAAATTCTTATATATTTTAATGGTTGTTACCCCAAATCAAGTATCTCCTGCAGCTCCGGTTGAAGTGGATCTGTATTTGTGAACCATTCCGGCAAGTCAAATCGCTGCTTGAGAAAGTTTCTTATCCTGATTTTAGTTTTCTCGAGATCAAATTTAGAAACTCTCAAAAATCGCAAGATAAGAAAATCATCTAAATATAAAAAGATTAAATATTCCTTTCAGATAAAAAGCTATGATTATGGCAATACTAAATCTATTAAATATTAATTAAATACTGTGCATAAAACAATGTGATTTTATAGGCACAAATTTCTACTACCTTTTTTATAAAAAAATATGAAATCTTTTTTATTATTCACATTTTAGAAAGCATCAGAGAAGCTAGAAAAATAATAAAATTTCTTACAAAATATATTAAAATACAAATATTCTTTAATAAAGCAATTCTTTTGTACTTTTGTACTTTTGATATTTATATAAATATACTATATATATATATATATATATATATATATGATGGATATACATATACATTTGTAATTAAAATATACCAAAGGCTCTTCTTTTATTTTGGAATAATATAAAACCATATTTATTTTAATTCGATTGTAGCTTGTTTTGTTTTCTAGTGATAAGATGTGATTAAATTTCAAATATACGGTTATTGATATTGATAACTGAAGTACAAGGTATATATTTTACAAATCTACTCGTACTCTATTGACGACAAGTGTTGTTTTATAAAAAAAAATATTTGTATCTTTTGTTGTAATTTGCATTTTGTTATAATTTGAATTTTAAACTGTGGTCAAAGGGCGCGTTTTTTAATTCATCGATTGATCAATCGCATGGCGCAAGTGCAACATGCTGCATCTGCATACATGTGATTGATCAATCGATGAATTAAAAAACTCGCCCAATGTCACAAATGTTTTAAAGTGTTTGATGAACCAATCAGAAGAAAGAATTTTACAAGTTGACCACTCAAAAGACGCTTTAAAGAGTTTAAAGCATTTGAAGCATTGCATAACCGTATCCATTTTTATGTATTTTTCGCTTTTAACGTCATAATTCAAAATTGCCACAGTGAGTAAGCAAAAGCCATTTCAACGCGTCTATCACGTATCAGATGACTGTGTTTTTATAAATTTTACCCAATCGATCGTGTAAATCGTCGCTTTCTTCGATCCAACGTTTGATTTCCTCGATGGCACTCTTTCTAGTCTCATCGGTCTCGTTCAAATAGGTCGCTGCATATTTTTTATCTTCACTAGTTAGTCCATGTAGAGCGTAACTCTTTATACTATCATCGTAACTAGACATATTTGCCATCATGACTTCACAAGAACTACTGTTGCCAAGAAAGTTAACGAGCTGCGCCGAATAGGATTGGCGATAAACATATAGTTACATAACACAGAATTTCTAACGCGCAGAATCTATTACTAATTGTTAAATTATTTCAATGATAAATCAGTTATTGGAACTTATGTCACCTCACGCGAACATACATATCATCAAGACATATAGATATGTCTGCAAAAAACCTTAAATTTAATATTCTGCTCAATTTTCACTATAAACGTCTTAAATACTTCACTGATAGACAAATCTATGCGTTTTACACATAAAATAGAATAAGGCAATTGTCAACCTCATATTGTGCTCCCTCCCAACAAATAGTGGAATTGGTGGGATTGTCAGAAAGGAGAGAACATATGACATGTTTTCTTTGTCTTTTCGAGTTGGCGCTGTTTGCTACCTAGCTTACATAAGAAGACAAAACGTGTAATATTGCATTTAATAACGGCTGAAAGGAATTAAAGTCAAAACGTTTCGTTATCACACATTCATTAAAACATATTTGAAATTGTTAAACTGCTAATCAATTTAATTCGTGATACTTTGAGAGTTTGTGTTTCAAGACCGAAAAATTGTTTCGGCGCGCAGTTTAAAGGACTACGTACATAGTACAGAAATTCACATGGAATTATATAATACAAGCATCTATAAAATCCACAATGAAAAAAAGGATTGGCTAAATATGGCATAGCATTTTTAATTGGCTACGACAGCTAATTATTGGTTGTAACATCCAATTTTTGGTCGCATATTAGCCATCCGCAATTGCTGCTACAATTTAAAATTAGCTGCTGCAACAAAACATTAGCTGTTGCATCAAGTTCAAAATGCTATGCAATATTCAGCCAATATTTTTTTCAGTAGATTGGTAATAGTTATCGTTAAATAAATGAACGAAGAGATATTAATTTTTAATTCTGTATATTATATAAAGTACGCTTTTGAAATTTTTAATAGAATGCATATATGAATTAAATTTATATTAAAATGTTATTATTACATATCGTTATTTATAAATGATGTATACTTATAAAATAAGTAAATTAATGTATATATCTAAAGTTTAAAAATTATACATTATAGTTGAAACGATGATATGAACTATAATAAATAAAATAATTTTTAAATTACAAGCGATTAGAATAATTTTCTTTTCTTATTCACATAATTTGAGAACGTAGGAAAATGTCATTAAAAGTATATAGGTACTCTTCTGTATTATATTTTAAGTAAGAATCTTCCGATAAATATATTAAAGGGAAAGGTAAATGACTTAATTTTTTTTAATTGCAGTGAAAAGAAAATCTAGTCTATATTTAATAAAATAAAACCAAGTATGCTGCAAAAAAAAATAAAGAGGAGACTTTCAAAATTCATTTTGTCAATAATTGCGTTCAGCAGAAAGAGCAGCTTTGCAACTGTTGTAAAATTCTTGAATATGATTGGTTTATACATTTAGGTTCACTAAGGAACTAAGAGCAAGACCAATCATATTAATGAATTTTGCAACATCTGTAAAGCTGCTTTTTCTGCTGAACGCAACCAATGCTTTTGAGGTTTTTACGGATATTATCTTGAAAGATATCACAAGGCTTGTGGATTATCGCCGTCCATTACCAATGTCAACGTTTCGTGAACTTTGCCGTTCACTTCATAAGGATAAGGAGCGCACTGATAAATTTATTTTGTCTAAAACTTCATTTTCTTTTTTAGTCAGAGATTTAGACATAGCTGTTTAGTGTTGAAAGACCCAAGTTACTCTACGATGTTTTAAAAATATTTTTTTATCATCAATTTATGTGCTGAAAACAGTCTAAACATTTGAAGTATATTGTATTCTTTAACTAGAGAAACAAACAAAATGTATTTGTTTAATATTATTAGAAATAGTTTAGTAATTTTGTTTAACACATTTTACATCTTACTGATTAGCAAATTGTTATTTTCTGCAAAGCGCGTTAAGCTTGTGACTTTCTGTCTCGTTTTTTGAAAATTATAAATTCTGGACACAACGCGCGTTTTAAAAGTCTATTCCTCAAATACTTAAATATTTTCTAGCATTACTCATTTTTTGAGAAAATCTCGAAACCGATGGCTTTTTCTATAAATTCATACGTGATGAGAAAAGTCACATGCGATATCTTAACGCGTAATGTACGTATGTTTACTGGTATATGTATACTTTGCATGACGATAATAAGCCCGAAACTTGTATTTGTGATTCATGACATTTCAATTTCTGAACTGTGATAAATATTATAACAACATTATTTATATAATAAATAAAAAAAAGATATTAACAGCATGCTCTTCAAAATCTGTAATTTTTAATATCATTTTGCCTTTAATTAGCAACGATAACTGCATTTGTAGTAAATAATGGATTGAAAAATTTATCTGTAATAGCTGTATTATCTATTCTGTAGAAAAAAATTTGATAAATGATAAGAGAAGCTATTAACTGTTGTATTTTATGTACAGTAATTCAGCGCATGTATCAACCTTTGGTCATTGATGTTTTAAATAAAATAAGTATAAAACAGTTTTTATATATATAAACAGGTTACATTATTATTTGTATTTTATAAATATGTATTATATAATTACATATTAGTTACGTAAAATAGATTACGTAAAAAGATTTCGTAAAATATGTACATAAAATATATATCTAATAGAAAAACTGGATTAAATTCTTAATATACATAAATTGAAAACAGAGAATTTTTTACCTCATTTATATTATATATATATTTAACTTAATAACATAAACTAACTATTATAGCTTTTTAAAAAAATTCATATTTTATCTACTCTTTTGTACTACATCACTTATAGAATAACTATTTTAGACAGCAAAAGAAAAAAAAACATCTCCTTATTGCAAAATTTGTAAAATAAGTAATGATATTACGACAGTAGATGCATCCAAATGTGTGTTGATAACAAATACTTTCTGCCCATTCAACAACTATTGTTTCAAATGTTACTCAATTTGAACATTATCATCTTTCGTAAGCCAGTCGGAATTCTCTTCGATCGCTTTCTTCCAATATTCTGTAAAAGTAAACATTTATAACACGTTTTGAATTAAATGATTATGTGAATCTAAATAAATAATTCTTACATAAAACATTTTGTAATCTGAATTGAAAAATTCTTAGTTTTTAATTATTATTATCTGAACAATTGCTCGTATTAATTATTTATGAAAAGTTCATTTTTCTTCTTCGGCAATATATGCTTAATAAAAGATATTCTTTATCGTCTATTATAGCAGCGTCTCATTTATTCTATTTTAATTTACCTATTTACCTGTTAATTCTTGGCATGTACCAGCAGTGCCGCCATACTCGACGGGCAAAATGTTAGCTGGAATATCCTTGAAACACTCAAGATTGTCTGCGTATACGTGAAATCTGTCTTTCAATTTCTTGGTCATAAAAGATTTAGCAAGATTTATTATAACATTGAAGAATTTTGGGACATTGAATACGTTAAAGGCCTGGTATCTCATAGGATAACAACTCTGCCATGTGTGAATTATATTCATTATCGTATGAGGACCAAATTGAAGAATGTGACGTATAGTTGGATCAATCATGTCTATCAACGATACAATACCATACACGGATGCTGCAGGATAAAATTTCACCGCTAATTCTATTGTTAACATACATGCCTAAAAAAGTCAAAAATTACGAACATAAATTAAAAATATACCATGACTACATTACTCATTTCAATTAATTATTAAACATTATGCTATTTTTATTTTAACCTTCGACATGTCTGCTATGTTGTGTATTCTTGGATCATTCAGAGTGCCGCGTATAAGCAAAATCAATCTTCCTTGATTGTCTGGTTTCAACAGAGGCAAAAACATGCTAAACCAAACCAAAATAAATGTAAATTTTTTGAAGAAATTAATATACTTTTCATTTTTATACCAATTACATCTAGTTGTTCCCAAAAATTCTTACTTAATAAATGTTTAAAAAATTTTGATATTACAAGATTTACCTATTCTTACATACAATATAATAGAAGTAATAAAAAAAAATATAAACAAAAATTTATCTTTAAATTAACTAAATTTAAGCAAATAGTCATTAAAATTAAAGTTGCGATTTAATGAAGTTCTCTGCTATGTATGGTAGTCAAATAAATTGAGAATAAAGGAAATCCACTGTCCATCGAACAGTAGTAAAATATATATAATAAAAAAAGATTTTATAGGTATATATTATATTTGCAGAACTTACAAATGTGTGTGTGTAAATAGGTGCGTGTGCGCTGTGTAATATAATAGTTACCCCAAATTAAGATATTCCTGCACTTTCGGTTGAAACGGATTCTTATTCGTGAACCATTCCGGTAAATTGGATCGTTGTTTGTAATAATTTCGTATCCTGATTTTAGTTTTCTCAAGGTTAAATTTGCCAACTCTTAAAAATCGTAGGATAAGAAAATCATCTATATACAAAAAGAATTCCCTTTAAAAAATACAACATAGCAGTACTAAAAGTTTATCATTAGGTATTAAAATAAATTAGATTGTAATTTTATGAATTTATATGTAATATAGAGTAACATAATTTGAAAAAATGTTTATAATATATACAGCCATTGACAAAATTATTAGGCACCTAGTTAATTCTTTTGCCGTTTGCCGACGATCTTTTAGAGCATTTTGCTTTAAATATCGATCTTCTCTGGCAGTAGTCTTTCGTTTTCTTCCTCTTCCAGATCTGGATTTAAACTGTTTAGTATCATTATATCTTTTTATTGTAGTTTGAACTGCGCAACGGGAGCATTTTATTTTTTTTGCTATTTGCACTTGAGATAATCTTATGGAATGCAACACAATAATCTGAGCCCGTTTTCCTTCACTCAACTCGCGTGTTTTAGGCATATTTTGAAATCTCGGATAATATGTTAACAATAATAAGATAAAGAATTGCCTAGCAATTGCTCGAAACAAGACTGATAACGTCCGTATTATTCGAAGTCGAAATGCACACTAAACAGTTTTGTACATATTATCATTTCTCTAAGAAACTTATATGCCTCAGTTGCTTGACCTTCTCACAAAGTCAGTAGCATGAAAACAACACGCAAATAGAGAGCTTATGTACATTCAGTTGTGAAAAATTTAGAAAAAGCAAGGGTGCCTAATAATTTTGTCAATGGCTGTACATGTACATATACAAATCTAAATGTATGAGTTTCTTGCTTTTCCGATTAATAAATGAACGAAGTTGATCGAAAAACTCTTTTCTTTTTAGGTGTAGAAAATGGCGAAATATTATTTATCACTTATTGACTTTTAAATCATTATCACTATTCTTTTCAATAAATCAAACACAATTTGTTATCTATATCATGAATTTATCTTTTCTTATTGCGTAATTAAGAATGAATTTAACAAGAATAAGCATTAAGCCATAACATCGACGCAGATTAAATTTATTGCGTTGAAAGTAATAAATTATAATTGAATTTTATTTAGTGTATTCAGGAAAGAAAACCGATTAAAAAATATGCCTAATTGATTTTAAAATATAATTCATTCCTGTAGTTAGTATTAACTGAAAAAAGGCAAAAACCAATTACATATTAAAGAATACTGAGCGCTTATTAGATAATTAATTATCTCTGGATAATGCAGAATACTTCAATGGAATGACGTATTTAAAAGAGTGCTGTTATTTTTACCAATTTGTATGCGCAATTCGTTCTCGATCCAAAGTTTGATTTCTGAGACAGCATTCTCTCTAGTCTCATCGGTTTCGTTCAAATACTCCGCTGCATATTTTTTATCTTCGTTAGTCAGCTCTTGCGAAACGTAATCCACTATGTTATCGTTATGATTGCGTTCATTTGTCATTATGATGATAATAGTCAAGAAATTTTATCCACCGTGAAAGATTCGCGTTTTTGAGTCGCGGAAATGTGATACACAGTCACGATTAACTATAAATGCAATAATAGCCACGTTCTAGTATACATACGTACATTGTCAATACAAATTTTATAGTATATATAACGAAAAAAATCTGTAGATTTTGAACACTGTAAAGGCTCCTACAGATGAGCGACTTTGTAGCGCTACAATTAAAAGCACCGATCATACTAAGCTATAAACGTATATTTGCGAATATATTTGCAATACTTTTCTGTAGCGTCAGAAAATAATTCTATATGTAACGGATCGACGCTTTTAATTGTAACATTATAAAGTCGCTCGTTTGTAGAAACTCTGTATATATACGTATATCGGAACACAGCAAATATTTATATTATATAACGCAGTGTAGAGCGCAAGGAGGCAAGACGTACTGTTTAAAATTCATTATTTGAATCATCGAATCGACTTTCACTTTTTAGAAATTACGCCATCTACAGTAAAAAAACATGTAGTTCAAAATCTTTTACTCGATTACCTTGAAACCAGAGGAAATCTAAGAGGCCTTGTTGGATGCAAGGCTGGCCTTAAGATTATAAAAAACAAGATATAAAGTGACATAACTGTAGTAATCGTACCGTAGAATAAGGGCCTATCTACATCTATCGTAAAGTTTATCGTAAATGCTTTACGATCCTTACGACAGCTGATTAGAAGTTATAATACACATTGACGTTTCTCTAATTGCCTATCGCAAGAACTTACGAAACATTACGATAGATGTAACTGGCTATAAATAGATGTAGCTTTGAGACAGAGACAACGTAAATTAGAAACAGTGGCGTAGCTAGGGATGGCAGCGCCCGGGGCGGTCCCTTTTGTTCCCGCCCCCGTGATTTTTTAAATTAAACTATTATTTTTTGAATTTTTTTAGTTAATAACTAATAATTTCGACAATTTAAATAAAATTTTATTTTTTGTAAATTATTTAAATTAATCATGTAATACAACACTTTATATAATAATAATTATACGTAATATTGAAGTTATTCTGTAGATAAAAATTAGAATCTTTTTAGGACCGTACAATTAATAAACAATAAACAAGAAGAAGGAAGTCAATAACGGTCAAAGCTGGATCACAATGCTTATTATAATTATGTGTGAATTTTATATACTACGTATATAGTCCCCCCAAAAATCGCGACGCTGACAGTTTTTCAGCATTGACGCATATGTACTTATTACCGCAGTAATATCACGAATTTAATTGATTACAATTTTTTATGCTCATAGCATCATGGATCTTAATAGTGTTAATAGTGTTGATAGTCTATGGGCAATACGCGATCAGCACCACCAGTCACAGTCAGCGGTCTGGGTATCGATTGTGTAACTTTTTCCCTAGGGCGGAAACGTGAAAAGTGAAAATTTTTTGTATGTATGTGTATATATGGTCAAACATTCATAAAAGTTTTCACTTATCACGTTTCCACTCTAGAGAAAAAGTTACATGACTGATATCCTATTGATCGCGTGCTGCCACCAGTTCTGAATTTGTAACACTGATTGGCGCCCTTGTCAAGACGGCGCGGCGCCCGGGGCGGACCGCACCCCCCGCACCTCCCTTGCTACGCTACTCTAATTATTAGAGTAATATTAATGTATGTACATACACCTTAATAGTTATTACTTAATAGTTATGTTATGTGTCAAATCCGTATATCGTGCACGACGAAATAATATAAATAGAGATTAGATGCTATCGGTTCGAACGCCACACGCACACCCGTATATGTTTCGATTCACACAGGTCGTCTCGAAGTCGACGAACAGCGAGCGCGGAAACACAAAGGATCTGCGGCATCTGTGATCCTGGCAGTAAGTATCGCACTTATATAATTTTAGTCAACATCGAGCGGGGCGATCCTCCGATCGCCACATGAGAAGAGAGATCAAATAGTAACTCGAGGGTCACGTGCAAGAAAGCGCGGGCAGTCAGCAATAGTCAGTCGACTACAGTCGACCACAGCTCTCGGTAGCAGCAATTTCTAGTAAAGTGTCGCGATTCAAGACCCTCTCGAGGCGTTCTCGTGAAGTGTGTCCGAATCGTGCGCGGCTCAAGATATCTGCCTCCAAACGTCGCGTCGTCGCGAACTCAGCGGATCAGGCAATAGCCCTAAGCGTCTCGGAAATTCGACTCAAGGCATAATCCCAGGCGTCGTTGAATTAGATACATTGTCACCGAACGAGTGGTACATGGGACAACCGTGTCAAATATTCCGTCGTTGTCAAACGAACGTTGTACCGTGTATAGTGGTACATTAATCCGAGTGTCACGAAAATCGATCTCTTAATTCAAGAGAATTGGTGAACATCTTAAAATAAACAATATGGAACTTTAGTGTAAGGTCCATTACATTTTCCACACTGCAAACGAACAAGTTAATATGTAAATAGATCTATACACTGAAATAAAATTAGAAAGATTAATTTATAAATATGTAATATGATTTATTTATTTTTCCACCTCTGGGAATTATTGTTTTAAATTAACCAATATTTTTTTTAACAAAGTTGTAAGTATCTACAATACATATATAGCTAAATTTATATTGAATATATGCAAATGTGTGCAAAGTTATAGTGTATGCATTCGCCATAGAGACATCTTGAACAGAGCAGCAAATAATGATAAATAATATCAAAATGATATTAAATTGAATCGCGATTGATAAAAAAGTGACTTAATAATTATTTTAGTGCTACGTTATTTTGACTCAATTTTAGTAGACAAAAATCATGGCTTTTTGTTCTACTTATTGTGAGTACGGGGTGACACTATTAATGCTATTTGTGACATTCCATCCTTGTTTTACATCTAATAAACGACGGAAATAGAATGACAGGATAGCGTTAATAGCGACTTCCCGAACACACCTTTAGGATCAATTGCACAACGTTACTATTCTCACACTTTGTTTCTTTAAAACTAAAAGAGAGGGAGAGATAGAGTTTAAGCCAAAATTTAAAATCAATGTAATGATAATGCACGCACGCGCGCGCGCGCACACACACAAAACCTGGTCTTAGATGTCTATTTAATATAATTTAATATATTTATTCTCGATTAATAAAGAAACTTTTTTTTAGAAGAATATATTGGACACACACATACACACACAGACACACAAACGACATTCTATATGCTTTATTAAGAGAATCTTAATATAAGCATTGCTCAAGCATCCGTATCGGTTCGTAAATTCAAATCATTTTTCTGTTTATTGATATGTAGCATCTCCGATATTGTGCGTTAATCTGGTATAATTCATAATAAATATTATTTGTTATATAGAAAAATAAATATATTTATTTTTATGTTACACATATTATTGCATGTTGACTATACATGTGAAACAAAAATATGAAATAAATATACAAAAATATATAACGAATTAGATCCTTTTTTTTCTAAAAAATAAACTTTTTATTTCTTTTATTAACTTACAGTAATAGTACTATTTTTCTAAAAATGCTTTCGTACACATTTTTTTTGTACTATAATAACTAACAGAATTCTAGTAACAAATAAGGAAAAATGATAACATTTTTCTCGCGAACCTCATAAATAAACAAAGTGTAACATATATTACGACAATAAAAATATAGCTTCTTAATATTATTCATTTTAATCATTCTTATTACTTGTAAACAAATCGCGATTATCTTCCAACAATTTCTTCCAATACTCTGTAAAAGTAATTGTTTATTATTTTTCTCTTGAATGAAATACTCTTAATTCTATTTTTTTATTTTAGATTATGCTTATTCTAATCTAAAGCCTAAACAAGTACTTCGTACATGTAGAATCGTTAGAATCCGATAAATTCTTTACGATTATTATTTGAACAATTGCTTGTTTTAACTTTAATTTTTGTGAAAAATTCCTTTTTCCTTTGATAATATTATATTTCGATAATAAACATCTCGTATTGTCCACTAAGAACGTCACATTTATTTTATTTAAATGAAAAAAATACCTGTTAATTCCTGAATTGTACCATCACTGCCACCGTACTCGACTGGCAAGATGTTAGCTGGAATATCTTTAAAACAAGTTTGCCGCATGTGTGGATAGACATGAAATCTCCTCTTCAATTTCTCTGACATAAAAGATTTAAAAATTTTGAAAGTAATATCAAAAAGCTTTGGCGCATTGATTATGTTTATCAACTGTAACCTTATAGGATAACAGTTTTGCCATGCGTGTACTATTTTCATTACTAGGGAGGGTCCAAATTGAAATATATGATGTATAGTTGGATTGATCGCGTCACCGATGAACGTTACACCGTACACAGATGATGTACGCATGGCGCAATTTTTCATCGACAGTTCTTCTATCATTATACTGACCTGAAATGATATTTGTCAAGAAATAATGAGCAATTAAAAATATGTTTTATGACGACATCTATCTCAAACGCATTGTTTGTAAGTTACTTGCAATTTTAATGCTATTTTAATTTATACCTTAATGATATCTGAAATGTCATGTATTCTCGGATTATGTAAAGTAGTGCGCAAAATGACAACCAATCTGCCTCGACTATCAGGTTTCCGCAAAGGCAAAATCAATCTAAACGTAAATAAACAATTTATTCTAAAAATCTTTTGAAAAGTTAGTGTTAATTCTACAACGATGTGTGTATAATTATGTCCGGAAGATCTTATTTATTAGCAAATAAATCATAATAAAAAAAGGTAAGTAAAGTGAAACCCATGCCATCGATTACTCATTGCAATCAAATTTAAATTATTAATAAAACAAATAGTTTATTATTTATTATAATGAACATATATAATAACATATAATTGAATCCTCATCAACAATGTCAGCAATTAAATGTAATCCCGTAATGGGATTATTAAAAAGAAATCAGTGATCATTAATACATTGCGAAAATGAAAATAATATTATAATAATCGTTACAGTGATAATAATAATTATTACAGTGAAAATATATGAAATTTTTAAATAAATTATTATTGTGAATTAGATAACCTAATTGTTGAAATGCGATATTTAACCGATAATTATAATATAGTACAAAAAAATTTTCTTTAAATTGTGTATTTGTATACTTTGAGTATACAAATATATAAAAATATGATAATCTTTACCCCATATTAATTATCTCCTGTAATTCTGGTTTAAACGGATCTCTATTTGTAAACCATTCCGGTAAGTCAGATTGCATCTTATAAAAGTTTCGCATTCTGGTTTTAGTTTTTTCGAAGTTAAACTTGCAAACTCGCAAGAATCGCAAGATGAGGAAATCGTCTGTATAGAGATTAAGTTTGCTATAAATAAAAAACTAATACTATCAATTTGTCATTAGATATTACAAATTAGACAGTAATTTAATAAATAGAAAATATACGCAAATAAAGTCGATTGAAAAATTGTTTGATTCATAAAATGTTTTCAAAATTATAATTTGGTTACAAAAACATATTAAAAAGAGTAATATGTCAAATAAAAAATAATTCACAGCGTATATAAATAATTAAATATAATAAAAGATAAAAATTAAAAAAAATTTCTTACTTATCATATGTAATAAATAGTTACAGATCATTTATTTAAAAATGTAAATGTCACCTTACGTTAGAAAATGGAATAGTAAAAAAAGTTATTTATTTGCTTTCAGTCATAATCAAATTATCATAATTAAATAGATTTTGTCTATATTCGCTTAATAAAATCGGCGCGCCCACCGGACAGTTAACATCATGTTGAAATAGAAAGTATAATAATAAATCATAATTGAATTTCATTTATTGAGTGATTTCCACGCGTAAGATTGCCATTATTTTTACCAATCTGTATGTGCATTTGATCGTTAAGCCAGCGTCTGATCTCCGTAATGGCAGTCTCTCTAGTTTCGTCGGTTTCGTTCAAATTTATCGCTGCATATTCTTTATCGTCGCTGGTCAGCTCATACTGCACGTGATGCTCTATGCTATTTTTACAATTGTCTTTATTCGCCATTGTGATGACAATAAGCAAGTAGCTTTCGGAAGAATATATTGTGTCTTCAAATCGCAAAGATACACTGTTACGTATCAACATATGGTCAACGATAAACGCAGTAACGTTTCTCTAACACTGTAAGAGAGAAACACGTACTGTTTGCAATTTACGTGCTCTTTGGAGTTTAGTTTCTCTAATCAGCTAACTTCGCCATCTGCAGGAGATGTCGCAATATAATGATGATGACATAAACAAACCTGTTCTTTGAATAATTGCTATGAACAATTAATCTCTTCTTTTTTCCCATGTTAAAAAAAAAAAATGTTGATCGATACAAGAAGCTTGAACCTTTGTAAAAAAATACTACTGAGCACTAGGAGTATTTTGAGGCACTATAACTATACTACAGCACTACTCATTGTCAGCACTACTGTACTACTACACTACAACACTACTGCGCTGGTATAGTACAGTAGTGTTTCAAAATACTTCCAGTGCTCAGTAGTACTTTTCTACAAGGGAAAAAGCATTAGACATATTGACTATAACTTTTATGTTTATTTCCACCAAGGTGGATTAACTCTAATTTCGGTTTTTTATTTCTCTCATATTTTTTATATTAAAATTAATATAAAAAACAATTAAATGAATGTAAATGAGTGTAAATTGCGCTGTTTATAGTTGTTGCCGACTAATTTCGCGGCTACGGGATATCATACAGAATGACTATCCGTTACTTATTTTAATCGAATGACGACACACTTCGCAGATTTTTAAATTATATATATTTGCTCATAAAAAGTATACATCAGAGTTGACGCAAATAAAATAAAAGAGCGACTTCGCTGCTCAAAGGCCTTGAAACGTAACGCAACGTCACATGCATGGAGGCGCCATACAACCAGCGCCACATAACAACGCCTCGCTTCTCGAAATCGTATGTTAGGGTCTGCGCACAATGGAGGAACAGATATTAGATATTAAAATATTAACCTATCAGATACCAGTTACACCGGACTACACAATTCTGATAGGTTAATATTTTAATATCTAATATCTGTTTCTCCATTGTGCGCAGACCCTTAAAGAACGTGCGCGAATAATATAAAGCCACGCGAAAGAAGAGGCGGCAATTACAAAAATTTACAATTTAAAAAACTTAGTATCCCGAACATGCGCAGTTAATTATTTTTTAGCTGTAATAGCTGTAATCTCGAAAGTCCTATTGTTATAAATACCGATGAGGACATGTCGTAAAACGGTCAAGTTAGATCTCGGGTGATTCTATATACGGTAGACCGAGCGATGAAACACCGTAAAGAGGTAGTTCTGGTTTCAAAATAAGTACTTCAAAGTTTTTTCGCGCTACGGAACCAAGTGTACCTCATTTTTAAGACTCTAAGGCATCATTTGAACATAAAAAATTGATTTTTTGAAAATTCTAGAGTGGCATTACATCTTAAAAATTGTGCACAAATGCGGTTTAAAGCTTTCAAAGACTGAATCTTTTCATTTAATTTGTTTTTTTCTGACCTTTATAAGATTTTTTTTTCACCGAGTTATTTCAATGTCTTTATTCAAATGTCTTTTTTGTTTGCGATGATTTTTCATCAAGTTCTGAATATTGCGCAATTTCGAGCGTGTTCGAAAATGTTCTCTATTTTCTGTTATGTACTAGATTTTTTATTTATCACAACAGCTTTTTATCTTTAACGTTCCAAATAAAATAATAAAATAAATACAATATAATTTTTTATATTAAAAAAACTATATTTTAATTTATATACATTACACATGTTATTGCATACTCATATACATGTAAAACAAGTATATCTCAAAACAAATATAAAAAAATACATAACGTATCAAATTTATTCTAAAAGAATAAACCTTTTATTTCTATTATATATGCTTAATAATAGTTTTATGTACTAGGGGTATCTGAGATTTTGAGTTCGGATCGAAAATTTTTTTGGGATTGGGTCGAATGTTTGTAATATTCATAAACATTACAAATATATCGTTAAAAATAATTTTAACGATATAAGTGTGATGCTTACGCATAATGTTTTATTCGAGTTTTCCACTTAAACTTTCAGTGAAATTAAAAATTTGAGTGAAAAATTTGAATAAACGTCATAAAGAAGCATTACATTTATGCCATTAAAAAATTTCTAGATCTATGATCACTGCCCGACCCGATTTTAAATTCGGGTACACGAAGTTTACGGGTACCCAAACATTACAAACATTCGGGTCCTGACCCGATCCCAGAAAAAAAACCAGTCCCGAACCCAAGACTCGGGTACTCGTAATTTTCGAATACCCACAAACACTTATTATATATTATTTTTCTAAAAATGATTTCATATACAATTTTTGTATTATATAACTGACTGAATTCTAGTAACAAAGGAAAAAAATAGAACTTTTTTTCTCGTAAACCTGATAAACGAATAAAGTATAACATATATTACGATAATAAATACATTGCTTCTTAATATTATTCAATTAAATTATTCTTATTACTTATGAAGCAATCACGATTCTCTTCCAACAATTTCTTCCAATAATCTGTAAAAGAAATTGTTTAAATTACATATCTTGAATGAAATGCTCATGTTAATCTAAAGCATAAACAAGTATTTCATATATATATATATATGTACATGTTAGAAATCGATAAATTCTTTTACGATTCTTATTTGAACAATTGTGCTTGTTTTAACTTTAATTCTTGTGAAAAATTCCTTTTTCCTTTGATAATATTATATTTGAGTGATAAACATCTCGTATTATTCACTAAAGATGTCACATTTATTTGATTTAAATTGGTCATTTGTACCTGTTAATTCCTGAATTGTACCATCACTGCCACCATACTCGACTGGCAAGATGTTAGTTGGAATATCTTTAAAACAACTTTGCAGCATGTGTGGATAGACATGTAATCTCTGCTTCAATTTTTCTGACATGAAAGATTTAAAAATCTTTATACTAATATCTATAAACATTGGCGCATTGATTACGCTCATCAATTGTAACCTCATAGGATAGCAGTTTTGCCATGCGTGTACTATTTTCTTTAGTACGGAGGGTCCAAATTGAAATACATGATGTATAGTAGGATTTATCGCGTCATTAACCAACGACCAACCATACACAGATGCTGATGAGGCCAAGGCGCGATTCTTCATTGCCAATTCTATCATCATAAGACCGATCTGAAATGATTATTTGTCAAGAAATAATGAGCCATTAAAAATATGTTTTCATGACGTCTATCTCAAACGCATTATTTGTATAATAAGTTTGCAATTATAATTTGTACCTTAATGATATCTGATAATTTGTGTATTCTCGGATTATGTAAAGTAGTGCGCACAATGATAACCAATCTGCCTCGACTATCAAGTTTCCGCAAAGGCAAAACCAATCTAAACGCAAATAAACAATTTATTCTAAAAACCTTTTGAAAAGTTACTGTTAGTTCCACACCGATGTGTGTAATTATGCAAGGAAGATCTTATTTGTTAGTAAAATATTTTTATTCGTATTAAACCATAATAGAAAAAGGTAAGTATAGTGAAACCCATTCTATCAATGACTCATTGTAATGAAACTAAAATTGTTAATAAAACATGTAATTTTTATTATTTATTATAATAAACATACATGTATATTAACATATGATTGAATCTTCATCAACGATGTTGGCGAATATACATAATGCTGTAATCGCATTATTAAAAAAAAGTCTATAATAATAATTATTACAGAGCAAAAATTTCTAAAATTTTACATTCAATTATTATAGTGAAGTAGATAATCTAATTGTGAGAAGCGATATTTCACCGATAATTATAATACAGTACAAAATAAATTTTCTTTAAATTGTGTACTTATATAATCTGAGAATAAAAATATGATAATCTTTACCCCATATTAATTAATTCCTGTAATTCTGGTTGAAACGGATCTCTATTTGTGAACCATTCTGGTAAGTCAGATTGCAGCTTATAAAAGTTTTGCATTCTGGTTTTAGTTTTTTCAAGATTGAATTTGCAGACTCGCAAGAATTGCAAGATGAAAAACTCATCTGTAATAGAGATTAAGAGTTCGCTTTAAATAAAAAGTTACTAACAAATATTAAACTTGTAATTTTTTTTGGAATTACAAATTAGATAGTAATTTGATAAATAGAAGATATACATAAATAAAATTGATTGAAAAATTTTTTGGTTCATAAAATGACAAACTGCGATTGTTCGACAATAAATTTAATTATGTAGATTTTTTAAATCTAATTTTTATATTATCATTATTATGAATTTAAAATTATTATTGATTTTCTTACCGATAAGTAAAACATATCTTGTTAAATTATTTTATTATCTTTATTTTTTTTAATTATGCAATCAAGGCGAATAAAATTCACGCGATAAGTGTTAGTAAATGTTTCCAACTTACAAAAATATAGTAAGAAAGGTAAAATGTCAATTAAACAATATTTCACAGCGCAAATAAATAATTAAATATAACAAAAATAAAAATTAAGACCTTTTTTCTTATCATGTATTATATACATATAATGAATATTGTACACTGTTGTTAGTACTTTGCTTAAAAATTAACAAACCGAATTATAAAATATAATTGTTGCTTAAAACATCTTTAAATTATGGAATTCATTCCCTCTGTCAGAACAAACAATGGCTACCTTCCAACAAATGACACAGATGACACGAAGTGACACAGTGTACTATCATATCTAGTGGCCTAACTTCAAAATTTAGTACCGGGGGCATATTCTTTTGAAGACCCAGTTATTGAAACAGTAGTTATATATAATACATTTTCTTTAATAATTAGACTGTTTCCTTAGTAATTAGACTGTTTAAATATCACGAAGTAAAAATCCAATTATGTACCAATACAATATATGTATTTCTTTTAAATACGAAATGATACACAGTAAATGAATTTCAAAAACGTAAATATATACAGTTTTTAGTCTAAAGAAACAAAAATTCTTAGTTTAAAAAATTGTTAGAAACAGATAGATCGTGCACGATACCCAAACATCAAATCTTAGCTTTTACTACACAACAGAGTAT